TCCATCGTACTCTGTATGGGTATATATATATGTGATGGATTCTCCTGTCGAGTTCGACATATGAGGTTCCAATGACCACGAATTAATTATCTGCATGTCTATGACGGGCATGGCTTTTGAGACCAGCTTGAGAATTGCACAAAAGACCACAAACAGTAAAGTAGAATATATTGTATCCAAGTGCAGCAGGAACACTGTTAGATGTCTTATTTTGCTTTCTTGTTTCATGTAGTCAACTGATGGTTATTTCTCAGTGCAGCTATATCAATGTTGTACTTCTTTAGCTCCAATGCAAACAGAGCTGTTTTTCTTTCTGGTGCTGAGCTGTTGTCCTGGAGAGTTCATACATTCCAAGTGCCAAGAAGAATTTGATGTTTCGTAGAGTTTTTCACAGTTGCCAGATATGTGTGGAACTTATTAAATGTAGTTGTCAGAAAACTAACACAATGATTTTTTTCAAGTGGTGCAGGCTTGTATTGGACCATCCACACTTTTTTTTAAAAAGTATATATATATATATATATATATATATATATATATATATATATATATATATATAATTCAATTCAAGCGCCCTACGAGGCTGGCATCTCACTCTCACCCTTTCACTGTCGAAACTCCTAAATGTAGCTGTCTCTTCTACTCCAATAGCTTCATATCTCGCACCTCTAGCCTGTGGAACTCCCTTCCCTACTCCAGTTTCCCTGAGAGCTATAATCTCCAACTATTCAAATGTAATGTCAATCGACATCTCCAGTTGCCTTGAGCTATCCACTATCCTTCTCCTCATCTTTTCCTCTATCACTCCTATCTGATCTTGCTCCAAATCTTCTGTAACCCCCTGCGTCCTAGTGGCTTCCCACCTTGATTGGGGTGAAACATTTAAAAAAAAAAATAAAAATAAAAATATATACACACACACAAAATAAATGTGTATGGAAATTTAATATATTCATCTAAAAATAATTTGAATTCTGTCTTGTAAGTTTTGCTTTACAACTTTTGGTGTTAAAAAGACAAGCCAATTGGTAAAAGCTCCATTATCAAGGGAAATGACTGAAAAGCACAAAATAATATCAAGAAAAATGTAAATAAAGATGACAGCTTAGTGTCTTTTGAAAAGTATTCCTTTCAGCTCAGGCTTTACTTTTACAAACATTTATAATGCATCAGTGTTCATATTTGATAATAATAGTAATAAAATAATGATAGTATCAAGTTAATAATGAAAAATTTTAAAAGGATAGTTGCCAAGCTAACCTTTGTATATTGTTAATGTTTTTTTTTTATGTATTTGGTAATAATTTATACATTATTTGATAATAATAAGAACTATAACAACAGTAACATTAATCATTTTTAAAATTCCTTGCTTAAATCCAACTCATTTTTTCTTTAATATATTTGTACCTTTGTCTTTTTCCTGCCTACAGATGTTGATGGATTTTATATTTCTTTTATTTAAATGAATAATGAATGATCCTTTTCTCGAATAATTTCAACAGTCATCAGCTCTTTTCTAAAATGTCCTCTTCCTGTCAGCAATGCAAGTAAAGTTCTTTTTGGCTTTCTCCTTCAATCAAATGAACCCTTTTGGTCTTAATGAAGAAAATCCTTACTGGTGCTACAAAATCCCAAACAATGAACTTCACAAAATAGCAAAAGCCACATCAATTGGAGACTTCCAAAAGCAGCAATAACAGAAATGAATAGCAGATTCAACAAGAAGGGAAAATAATTATATAATCAAGATGTTAACTTTCCACAACACCTTAAACCTTTAGCATTCAACATGCTCAAATCCGTCTTGTATATATTGACACTGAAGGTCTCACTATTTGTGGTCAAAGTCTCACTGTTGACATGATTTCCTCTGGTATTTGTGATAATGTTGTCATATATTATGACAGAGTATTGTTATACAACATGAAGGCCAAGGCCAGAATGATCAGCAGTTGGCCAGAGTGCCTCATGGACATCGTATTCTGACAGTAATGGATTGCTTTTGTCTGGGTTTTGGATATAAGTCCAAAACAGCACAAATTCAACGTATGACCATGAGAATTCTGAAGCATGTATATGCCTCCCACACCCAGTTTAGCAACCAGCTAAGACTGCCTGTGGTGGGATGTTGAACCACATGTATTCCAGTGATAACATTCCTCCCACTGCTTCTGAGAATCCAAGCTGCCACCACTCTCTCATAATAAAACAAATAAGAAAAAGAAATGGTCTTTTTCATTGATACCATTTTATGGAATAGCATGGGGACCTGTTGGGGTGCACCCACCTTCTAACTAGTAATGGACTGGTCCCTCTTATATAAGTCAGCTCTGGAGAGAGAGTGAGAGAGCATCAGAGAGAGAGTCAGTGTTAGCAGTCCAGATAAGCTTACCCGGTACATACCGTTAGACTATAGACTTTGGATATTGTTTCGTACTAACCAACCTTCGTTCTACTAATCACTCTATTGTTAATTGCTTTTATGAATATACCAGTATTTTCCTCTACAACTGTGTTTGTCTTGATTCATACACCGACACGCGGGAAACTCACAACATCTCAACAGGACCCAAAGACGACCGACAGAACACAATAGTATACATGGGGTGGGTTACAGTGGGTTGAAGATAGGAGGCTGAAATTTACAGGTGGGCTTGGGTGGGCTGAATGCTTAAGGGTTAAAGAAAAATTTTAGAAAGTAACTCTCATCAATATTAGAAAAAGTTAAACATTTAGTGAACTTCAGAAATCTAATTTCCTGAAATGAAGTTTTAATAAAAAGATTTCATAAATTTCAACTGATTCTTACACAAACCATTTTGTCAATGAATGTTAACTATTTCGTGTATGGAACTGGCTAATTTCACCATTATTATCCCAGTCTTCTCCAAGTAACACAAAAATTAACCAGGAAAACAGGGTAAATTAAATCAACAAGAAAAATGTCTACGATCTTTTATGGGTTGAAATTTCCCATGAAAGATATAACATCAGAAATATGCATCCTAGGCCAGGCAATACAATGGACTCAAGAATTAGAATGAAGCAGTTTCACAAAAAGATGGTTAATTTAATCATCGTAAAAATCAAAAAATATAAAAAGTCAAATAAAAGTTATTATTTTTTATTTTATGTCCTTTATTATTCTTTTTTATTTTTAAATAAGCTCAATTATTCACAGAGAAAGTTGAAGTTATGAGCTACATTCCAATGCCCGTTTAGTCTGTTGCATTCACTTTCACACAAATGCTCTTGGGAAAGGCATGATTTCATCTCTTCTCTCTCTCTCTCTCTCTCTCTCTCTCTCTCTCTCTCTCTCTGGATACATATCAAACAGCAGTGTAGACTGGATTCTCCAGCCCTAAGTTTAACAGAAGAACTGCTCTGAATGCAAATCCGTGAATTAGCTGCATTCACTTTCGCACAAATCCTCCTGGGAAAGGTATGAATTCATCTCCACCCTCTAGCAACATATTATACAGCTGTGGCGAGTGGGCTCTCCAGCCTTAACTCTAACAGAACTACTACTTTGTATGCAAAATAGTGAATTAGTCAGTTGCATTCACTTTCAATCTAATACTCATGGGGAAGGGGTGAATCCATTTCTTCTACATACACCCATTAACTAGAGTGGGCTCTCCAGCCTTAACTCTAACAGAACTACTACTTTGTATGCAAAATAGTGAATTAGTCAGTTGCATTCACTTTCAATCTAATACTCATGGGGAAGGGGTGAATCCATTTCTTCTACATACACCCATTAACTAGAGTGGGCTCTCCAGCCTTAACTCTAACAGAACTACTACTTTGTATGCAAAATAGTGAATTAGTCAGTTGCATTCACTTTCAATCTAATACTCATGGGGAAGGGGTGAATCCATTTCTTCTACATACACCCATTAACTAGAGTGGGCTCTCCAGCCTTAACTCTAACAGAACTACTACTTTGTATGCAAAATAGTGAATTAGTCAGTTGCATTCACTTTCAATCTAATACTCATGGGGAAGGGGTGAATCCATTTCTTCTACATACACCCATTAACTAGAGTGGGCTCTCCAGCCTTAACTCTAACAGAACTACTACTTTGTATGCAAAATAGTGAATTAGTCAGTTGCATTCACTTTCAATCTAATACTCATGGGGAAGGGGTGAATCCATTTCTTCTACATACACCCATTAACTAGGAATAGTTAAGTTTTCCTTTTGAATAGGAGTAGAGGTTTGTCCCATGTTTCCAGTTTAGGATTGGGTTTCTGGGTCCTTCTAACATCTGCTTCAACTCTATATGCTTAATGCTTACTTCTCATGCTAATATAAGTCCATGCAGTAAACCTCTACTTTGAGTGGCTCTTGGTCTTTGTATTGGATGAACATTAGTAAAAAAAATGAAATAAAAAGAGAAGGACTATATTGAATTCCATTCTGTGGAAAAGAGAAACCACTCTATTATCTTTACAAAGAATGGTAAATTTATGCAAATCAGATTATCAGTAACTAAATGAATATAGAAAAAAAAATGGATGACTCTTTTCATGGCCCTTACGAATGGCAAAAGTGCCAAAACTTCAATTTTTCTTTTGTAAAAAATAGCGCCAAGCCTCTTTCTTGAATTGTAATGGCTGCAAGATCACATGCTTTTTGATTATTTTTAGCATTATTTACTAAAATCGGAACTTCTATTAAAGTGAAGGCTTTTAATATCCTTTTCATATATATTTGAATATTTAATATCCTTCATATATATATATATATCGATAAGTAGTATTTTATCTTTGAAGATTTTTATCAGTATATATATGTGTGTCTGTGAAGAGAAAAATGCAATTTATTAGATTTCCAGGAATTAACGAGGTTAAGTATTTATAGAAAATATGTCCGTGTGTGAGAGAATATTTTGGCTTCACCTCCTCAACTGATTCCTATTCAAAGGATTATACCTCATCGATATAACTAAAATAATGAAACATTAAAAATAAATTTGTAAACATTTTCTTACCATGTAACATAAACTCCATAATGGTATAAATTGGCTCGCCTTGAGTGCAAACACCCAAAAGTTGTACAATGTTTGGGTGATTAAAACGTTTCATCATTTCTGCCTCGCTAAGAAAATCCAGCTGAAGAAAGAAAGAAAACAGATATGAAAAATTATGAAAGAAAGAAAACAGATATGAAAAATTATGAAAGAAAATTATGAATGAAAGAAAACAGATATGAAAAATTATGAAAGAAATTATGAAAGAAAATTATGCATGAAAGAAAACAGATATGAAAAATTATGAAAGAAATTATGAATGAAAGAAAACAGGAAAAATTATGAAAGAAAATTATGAATGAAAGAAAACATATGAAAAATTATGAAAGAAAATTATGAAAGAAAATTATGAATAAAAGAAAACAGATATGAAAAATTATGAAAGAAAATTATGAATAAAAGAAAACAGATATGAAAAATTATGAAAGAAATTATGAAAGAAAATTATGAATAAAAGAAAACAGATATGAAAAATTATGAAAAAAAATTATGAATGAAAGAAAACAGATATGAAAAATTATAAAAGAAAATTATGAAAGAAAATTATGAATGAAAGAAAACAGATATGAAAAATTATAAAAGAAAATTATGAAAGAAAATTATGAATGAAAGAAAACAGATATGAAAAATTATGAAAGAAATTATGAAAGAAAATTATGAATGAAAGAAAACAGATATGAAAAATTATGAAAGAAATTATGAAAGAAAATTATGAATAAAAGAAAACAGATATGAAAAATTATGAAAGAAATTATGAAAGAAAATTATGAATGAAAGAAAACAGATATGAAATGTTATGAAAGAAATTATGAAAGAAAATTATGAATAAAAGAAAACAGATATGAAAAATTATGAAAGAAATTATGAAAGAAAATTATGAATAAAAGAAAACAGATATGAAAAATTATGAAAGAAATTATGAAAGAAAATTATGAATAAAAGAAAACAGATATGAAAAATTATGAAAGAAATTATGAAAGAAAATTATGAATAAAAGAAAACAGATATGAAAAATTATGAAAGAAATTATGAAGGAAAATTATGAATAAAAGAAAACAGATATGAAAAATTATAAAAAAAAATTATGAATAAAAGAAAACAGATATGAAAAATTATGAAAGAAATTATGAAAGAAAATTATGAATAAAAGAAAACAGATATGAAAAATTATGAAAGAAATTATGAAAGAAAATTATGAATAAAAGAAAACAGATATGAAAAATTATGAAAGAAATTATGAATGAAAGAAAACAGGAAAAATTATGAAAGAAAATTATGAATGAAAGAAAACAGGAAAAATTATGAAAGAAAATTATGAATGAAAGAAAACAGGAAAAATTATGAAAGAAAATTATGAATGAAAGAAAAAATATGAAAAATTATGAAAGAAAATTATGAATGAAAGAGAACAGATATGAAAAATTATGAAAGAAATTATGAAAGAAAATTATGAATAAAAGAAAACTGATATGAAAAATTATGAAAGAAATTATGAATGAAAGAAAACAGGAAAAGTTATGAAAGAAAATTATGAATGAAAGAAAACAGATATGAAAAATTATGAAAGAAAATTATGAATGAAAGAAAACAGATATGAAAAATTATGAAAGAAATTATGAAAGAAAATTATGAATGAAAGAAAAAAGATATGAAAAATTATGAAAGAAAATTATGAAAGAAAATTATGAATAAAAGAAAACAGATATGAAAAATTATGAAAGAAATTATGAATGAAAGAAAACAGGAAAAATTATGAAAGAAAATTATGAATGAAAGAAAACATATGAAAAATTATGAAAGAAAATTATGAATGAAAGAAAACAGATATGAAAAATTATGAAAGAAATTATGAAAGAAAATTATGTATTAAAGAAAACAGATATGAAAAATTATGAAAGAAATTATGAATGAAAGAAAACAGGAAAAATTATGAAAGAAAATTATGAATGAAAGAAAACATATGAAAAATTATGAAAGAAAATTATGAATAAAAGAAAACAGATATGAAAAATTATGAAAGAAAATTATGAAAGAAAATTATGAATGAAAGAAAACAGATATGAAAAATTATGAAAGAAATTATGAATGAAAGAAACAGATATGAAAATATCTATCTATCTATCTATCTATCTATCTATCTATATATATATATATATATATATATATATATATATATATATATATATAGATAGATAGATATAGATATAGATAAATAGATAGTTCTGTAGATAGATGTCTGTGATTCAATTTCAAGCAGTATCATTTCTTGATCCATCCATGGTCCTATATAATTATATAACATTATTATTTAACATACGCATATGTTAAGTCAGAAATAATTTATGTTTTTGTTAATATATTCTTCAAGAAAATTTTAGAGCAACAGTCATTTCTTTTAAAAACATCTTAAAATAAGATATTTGTGTATTTTTCAAAAGTAAACTGTCAAAATATCACCATATTCCCCAGATCTTATCCCTTGATATTTTTTCATCTTCGAAAATTTAGCAACAAGATTTCAAGATGTTGAAGAAATCCAAAAGAATGCAACAAGGCAGCTGCTCACTGTCCAAAAAAAGTGTTCCAGGAATGTTTCCATCAATGAAATGATGATGGACAAACTGTGGCTTCAGAGGGGGACCAATTCAAAGGTAATTAAATGCCAAATTGATATGTGTTGTAGTTTTCATATTATAGCACCAGTCCCAATACCTTGTATACAATATTTGCATATATGTAATATAGAATTTTATATATATATGTATATACACACACACACATATATATATATATATATATATATATAGAGAGAGAGAGAGAGAGAGAGATTTTATAAAGTACATTATTACAGTTTTTCTATATTTGTTCACATACTTTTAATATGTTTCTTAGTATTTATATAATTTTGAAAAATATATATTTCTGTATTAGTTCATATCATTGAGCATATACATATATATATATATATATATATATATATATATATATATATATATATATATATAAATATATATACATACATTTATTTTTTTTGCTATAGTTCAGTTAAGCATATATTTAGAAATGTTTATTGGTGAATGAATATATTATGGAACAGTATTTTAAGTGCAGCAAATAAATGCATTGTCAGGCACAGAATTTAAGACATTTGAGTAAGTAGACCCTAAAATGTATATCAAATTATTTTAAAAAAAGAGGAAGAAAGAGAAAAGTAAGATTGAGTGGCAAATTTGCAATTATTTTCCAGAATAATTGTAGCAAATTACTTGGAGAGACAAAATATTTCAAAAATTCTAAATGTAACCATATACTAAAAACAATGCACCAAACTGTTATATATGTGTTCACACACACACACAGACATATACATATGTACATATATACATATGTGTGTGTGTGTGTATGAACAGATATATGACACACTAACACACATATATGTGAGTGTAGGGAGAGATTGAGACAGGTTTCAGTATATTTTGTGGCACTGAAGGTAGGATATATTTGGAAACACTCTCCTTGCAACATAATGATGTACACAGTGTTTTGAGGAGGTTATTTTTTTGTTAAAATGCTCCTTGCAACCTAAAGATGTATAGGGTTTTTCTGAAAGGTTATTTCTATGAAAACTCTCCTGGCAACCGAATGATGCATATGGTGTTACAGGGGAGGGGTTATTTCTATTAAAACTCATTTTGTAACTTAATGATGCACATGGTGTTTAGTAGAGGTTATTTCGATTAATTCTCTATTTGCAACTTAATTATGTACATGTTCTTTAGTAGAGATTATTTCTATTAAAAGTCTCTTTACAACTTAATGATGCACATGTTCTTTAGTAAAGGTTATTTCCGTTAAATCTCTCTTTGCAACATAATGATGCACTTGGTGTTTAGTGGAGGTAATTTATATTAACTATATGTAACTTAATGATGTTTATAGTGTTTAGTAGAGGTTATTTCTATTAAATATCTCTTTACAACTTAATGATGCTTATAGTGTTTAGTAGAAGTTATTTCTATTAAATTTCTCTTTGAAACTTAATTATGTTTATAGTGTAGAGGTTATTTCTATTAAAAATCTCTTTCCAACTTCATGATGTACATGATGTTTAGTGGAGGTAATTTATATTAAATCTCTCTTTGCAACTTAATGATGTTTATAGTGTTTAGTAGAGGTTATTTTGATTAAATATCTCTTTGCAACTTAATGATGTTTATACTGTTTAGTAGAGGCTATTTCTATTAAATTTCTCTTTTCAACTTAATTATGTTTATAGTGTTTAGTAGATGTTATTTTTATTAAAAATCTCTTTGTAACTTAATGATCCACATGTTGTTTCGTAGATGTCATTTCTATTAAATATCTCTTTGCAACTCAATGATGTTTATAGTGTTTAGTAGATGTCATTTCTATTAAATCTCTCTTTGCAACTCAATGATGTTTATAGTGTTTAGTAGATGTCATTTCTATTAAATATCTCTTTGCAACTTAATTATGTTTATAGTGTTTAGTAGATGTCATTTCTATTAAATCTCTCTTTGCAACTCAATGATGTTTATAGTGTTTAGTAGATGTCATTTCTATTAAATATCTCTTTGCAACTTAATTATGTTTATAGTGTTTAGTAGATGTCATTTCTATGAAATATCTCTTTGCAACTTAATTATGTTTATAGTGTTTAGTAGATGTCATTTCTATGAAATATCTCTTTGCAACTTAATTATGTTTATAGTGTTTAGTAGATGTTATTTCTATTAAATCTCTCTTTGCAACTTAATGTTCATGGTATTTATGAAATGTTATTTCTGGTTACAATCTTCCTGAAGCTTAATGATATTTATGAGATCATCGCATAATTTGTGACAGTACCCTGAATCTGTCTTGGGAATGTCTCATACATTTTACATACACCATTGTTAGGTACGAATGCATAACTACAGAAATATGAATCATAAAGAATCCAAAATAAGATTTTTCTTACCTTTTGTTCTATTGTTGATCCTACTTTAAGGGTTTTTACTGCAACTGCCTGCCAACCTTGATCATCTAAAAATGCTTCACCACCAAAGACAGTCCCAAATGCCCCTGCACCAAGCTTTCTGTTTAATACCACATTATCACGTGGCAATTCCCAACCATCAAGAGATAGACAGCGTGAGAAACGAGTAGACAGCAATCCCAGTTCTTCCATTTTCTGATTAGAACTTTTATTTCTCCTGCAATATCTGAAAAATGAAAAAGAAGAGAAATCATTTATAATGACAATTTATATTCTAGAGTTATTATTATTATTATTATCTGATGGTCTAATGTTTGCTTATATGTACAGAAAGCAGTGCATCTGTTGGAAAAAAAAATCTGGTTTAAAACCTTCACTGCCTTGTCAACATAATACCTAAACATGGAAAAGTCTATGGAAGTAAATCTAAGAAAATCTGACGTGGAGTCCCAAAGGCATTTAGCTGTCAACACTGACAACCTTCCAGCAACACCTGAGGCCAAGTCAAATGTATTCTTTTGCATCTTGTTGGTACAGCTGAGAGAGGCCCATATGGCTTTGGCAGTGTATGGTCTCTATATAGCACCCTAGATAGAGGTCACAAAAGTTTTACCACCAAAGGACTGAATTTTGACCTTTATCTTGTGAAATAAAAGGATGCCTACTACTATGTAGGTGAGTGTATAATATATATATATATATATATTATAATTGTTTGTTTTAAAAATATAATTCCATTGTGACACAGAAATTACTGTTTCAAAATTGAAACTCAAGTCCTAAAGTTTAAATTCATTGCTTGAGAATGAAACTGTGCTCTAAATTTTAAGTTTAATTTTGAAATTAAACTTTAGGAATTTGAGTTTCAGTTTTGAAATTTCTGTGTCGCGATTGAATCATATTTTTAAAAAGAATAATTATAATTTAAGCTCTACTTCTATATTGAGCACTGTTTTTGAAAAAAACATAAATACTAAAGAACTTTGGATTATTAATCTAACTGTTCCTTCCTATTACATCAATATATACACACACATACATATATATATATATATATATATATATATATATATATATATATATATATATATATATATATATATAAGGGTAAGTCAAAAATCTACACTTTTGCCAAAACACATTTTTAAACAAGAGTGTGGATCATTTTTTACTTTCCCTTTGAATATTGTAAACTGGTGCTACAGAAAACTGTTAAATAAAGAAACCAAAGAATTTAAACATGGCTTTCAGATTTTGCATTCTAAACTGTTAATCATTACACAAACTGCACACCCTTTAAAACGTAAAAGTAAAGTAATCTCTTTCCTCCTTGGCTATGTGTTAAATGAAAGGGCAGACTCGGTTATCTTGCCATAGTTGTTAACCAGTCTAGGAGAAAGTCTGTATCTGCTAAATTTATTTTTGTAACTGAAATGTAGACAAAGTATTTTATAAGCAATTAACAAGTTTTTCAATCCACCATAATTTTGTTTGTCATGGCCTAATTTGTATTTTATATGAATACTACCTTATGAAAAATTGAGATGTAGTAGAGTGGAGGACACTGTAGCATAGATTGGTGGGTGGGTGCAACATGAGACACTTGTGCTGGCCCAGTATATATATATATATATATATATATATGATCGAAATAAAAGTATAAAATTTAATATTACAAGACATATTAAAACAGTATTAAATAATAAAAAAAAAAAAAACTCAACAACAAGGGGCGGGGGGAAACAACCGTTTTCGCTCCCGCTCGTCAGGCTTCCACGGGAGATTGAAAATTAAAACAGAGAAATGTACAATAAGAATAGGTGGAAAAAAAAAAAAAAAATTACACACACATCTGCCATCTAGTTCCTTCTTGCATATATATGAACATATATATATATATATATGTGTGTGTAATTTTTATACTTTTATTTCGATCATTAAATTTTGTACCTACAAAAATATCTTTAAATATATATATATATATATATATAGGAATTCCTTGATTAGTGCAGCTAATGTGTCCATTGGTAACTATAAAAAAATCAATTTTCAATTACTATGATTAAACTAAAGAATGTTTTACTGCACTAATTGAGCATTATGTATGCACTAATTGAATTTTGGTATATAAAAATTTTAGTGCACAACATGAAAACAGATTAATTGAATCTGCATTAATCGAGGGATGCCTGTATATATAATGAAATATATATATATTATAATTTTTAAGCAACTCTGATTGAATAATCTTGTAGCTTGTCAAGTAACTTTTAATAATGTCAATATTTATTTGTAGCTTTTTTTATATTTAGTGACATGAAGACAAACATGTTATATATTGTAATATTTATGGAAATTAGTAGTAATTTTTAAGCAATTAATGTCTTTTTTAATCCAACATAATTTTATTTCTCATGGCCTACTGGTAAAGCATGCTTGCCTTGAAATTTGTTAAAAATTGAAAAAAGTAACACATATTAATGTCTGGAGGTACATTTTCTTTTGGAAGGCTTTTGATCTCTGGGCCATTAATTCCATTGTTTAAAAAACAAAAATATCTATTCAAAGACTCTGATATAAATTCTCATAGGCTTTCAAGTGAATTTTAATAATGTTAATATTCATTTGTAGGAATGTTTTTTATAGTTAGTTAGATCAAGCAAAGAATTTTTTATCATTTCACCTCAAGCAAGGCAATAAAGCCACTAAGATACAAGGGGTCATGAAGTCTTAACAAAAAACCATTAAGGAGAGAGAAACAATAATTAAAAGAACAATAATTAAGAAGACATAAGATAACAGTTGACATTGCATTTAAAATTTTGAAGATCAATGTTGACTGGTGAAGCTGGAAGAGAGTTCTACAAGAGAGAAGTGCATAGAACTCACGATTACATCTCGCCATTTCAACTGTGAAATGATGAGACCATGCCACCAATCTAGTACTGTACTTAAATTTATAAAATCTAAGTACCAAAGGGGGAATTAAATCCCTTATATACATACATATATATATATATATATATATATATATATATATATATATATATAAAATGTAAATGAATGGTGTTAATAAAATCATGGTACCAGTGAGGAAGAAAATGTATATTTATTAATATAGTATATATTAGTGAATACACATAAAATCCCACTTTGATCGCCTTACTTGATGTCTTACTTGGTGTTTCATCATCAGGTGCTGAATACTCACTGACCATTAAAATTCACGTTATATATATATATATATATATATATATATATATATATATATATATAAAAAGTCTCTGTTATTTTATTATCCTTACATACATACATACATATATATATATATATATATATATATATATATATATATATATATATATGTAAGCAAATATATGGATATAGATCTGACATTATGAAGAAAAATATATACGGAAAAAACAAAACAAAAATCCTTATATACAGTTATGCTGTTTTAATGTTAATATATATATATATATATATATATGTTTTCCCCCTATGGTACCTAGATTTTATGAATTTAAGCACAGTACTAGATTTCTTATTATCATTATGTGTGTGTGTGTGTCTGTGTGTGATAATAAGAAAATGGAGACTTTAATTATCCATTTTGTTTATAATTTTTATTTTGTGAACACCAAGATTTTCAGCTCATCAGAATGAAGACTTCTCCACAAATCTTATTATCATTATAATGTTCTGTAGTTTACATTAAGCTCTCCCTGGAATTACAAAGTGGTAAAACGTATAATTATATGTGTGTGTGTGTATTTTATCCCTCTTTTATATCCATTTCATTAAAGATGACTGACAAGCTACAGTGATTAAGCTTTTTATTAAATTTTTTCTGGTTTTTAATCAAATATTCAGCAACTGCTGAATGTGATACATTATTACATCCAGGTAAACTGTCCACCTTTCCCTTGTGAATATTGGCTGGTATGTGCTGGTTAATCTGTATCTCCAAACTTTAACCCAGGATGGACTGACATTTGTAAATTTCAGCACTAATATGATGGGTAGTAGAATATTCTTCTGAATTGGTCTCAATGTATGTCAAGCACCAAAAGCAATACATGGATTGGCAGAAAAATAAAAGCTTATTATACCAATTGAGATTTGCTTAGTAAACCTCACACTCAGCTCACCAATCCACATTAAATGCAAATACATGGGAAATTTCTGGGGACCAGTCAAACTAGGCTTAGGAAATTGTCACATTTTTTTCTCTAACATTGAATTGCACAACATCCAAAAGGTAAATGTCCTTGCTCAGAACCTTCCTAATAAATTCAATTTCTGAATCTAATTTAGTTTCCGAGCATATAAACAAAGCCTGATGAACCACAGTTTTAATCAAATTGATTTTTAGCTGTTAAGAACAGAAGGAATCCCACTGGGTATATAAACCCATAATGGTTGGTTTCTGGTACACTAATGTAAGAAATCTTGTATTTGATTTGTGTACGTCTTAGTACACAAATCAAATACAAGATTTCTTACATTCTTAGATTGAGAAAACAAAGAAAACCATTGTCCTCCTTTTCACATGTGAAATGCAATGCAGAGTACAATGTATTCGGTGGTTGATAGAAAATCCCAGCTTCAACTTAATTTTCAAATACACAAGCGGTGTCCATCACATATCTAACAGAGTACCTACATCCTTCAATACAAGCAAGAGTTGCTTGAATCTGTAACTTAATATTTTCTTCTTTTATGTGCCGTATTTCTTCAGAATGTGGGTGATCATGGCTCTTCACAACATCCTGTCCTTTGTAGCTCTTGCTATCTCTCCTAATCCTTGTTTTGCCAACCATTTACCCAAGTTTGTTTCATAGGTTACCCGCTGTTTTAGCACTGTTTCTTTTACCTTCAATATATTGTGAGTGTCAAATTTTCTAAGCCATGTTTCCTCATTATGTGCTCTAGAAATTTCAACTATCTTTTTCTTATTTGAAGTATATGTGTCCTTTTTCTTTCTATTTTCCTTAAAACTTTCTCATTGCTCACATGTTCAGACCATAGTATTCTTAGCATCCTTCTGTAAAACCACATTTCTGTTGCTTTAAGTCTTTTGTTTATCTGTGAGGAGATTGCCCAGTATTCACTGCCATACATCTTATCAAAATTTAACATTTCAAAATAGAGGAAAGTATGACTTTAATGACAGAGTCAACTTTTGAGTG